GAGTGTAGTTTTTGTTTAATTGTTTCTTTTTTTTTTTTTTTTTTTGGTTGTGATTTTTATTGGGAATATGTTACGCACGCAAGTTGTTTGTTAATGTGATTTTGGGATGTGGTTGAGATTAAAGGTGGCAACTAAAGATAGTGTTATGTAAACGAAGTTGATGCAATAATATATTTTCTTAAGCAAATAAATGGCCGTTAATGCAGGCGTTTAATAAGGATTGAGAACTTTTAGAACTGTCCATTAATTATTCGATATGTTTGGTGTGCATTAAAGTTTTTTTTTTCTTTTTAGTTTTTTTAATGGCCACCTAAAACTTTAGATATAGCATATTAAAAATCACACAACAAACAATTCGCAACTTTATTAGGGCTTAGGATCAATTAGGAACTAAATTAGATCGCGGAAAAAGGGATTACACTAATTCGATAAAAAATTGGAACAAAAATTAAAACATAATCACAATTAAAACAACCATAAAAACATATCAGAATTTATATGGAAAAACTTGTGAAAGGGAAAAAATCACAAAGTCACACCACCATAAATTTTTATTATAAAATTTGGAAGGAATTTATCGCCTCCCAATGATATATGCCTCAATTGCTCGTGTATTTGCCGACCACTCCCACTGTATATGCAATATCTGGCCTGATCATCGCATACATCAAGCTTCCAACTACTAAAGCATACGAAGTTCTCTTTATGTGTGTTTGCTCTGCTTTAGAGTTACGTGATAGCTCCTTAGATAATTTGAAGTGAATACCTAAGGGAGTGCTAACTGATTTCACCTCACTCATGTTGAACCTCAGTAGGATCTTCTCAACATATTATGCCTGAGATAACTCCAGCATTCCTACACTCATGTCTCTGTTGATTCTCAACCAAAAGGTATTCTTAGTTGGATATAAATCCTTCATCTCGAGCTCACTTGATAATTGTTTCTTCAAGTCCCTGATTTTTTTCATTTACCTTTGCAATCAACATGTCAGGATCTTCTCAACATATTATGTCTGAGATAACTCCAACGTTCCTACACTCCTGTCCTTGTTGATTCTCATCCAGAGGGTCTTCTTGGTTGGATATAAATCCTTCATCTCGAGCTCATTTGATAATTGTTTCTTCAAGTCCCTGATTTTTTTCATCTACCTTTGCAATCAACATGTCATCCACAAACAGAAAAAAAGCAAAATATAATAGTTACTGAAGTGTTTGATGAAGCAACAGTGGTCCACCAGGAACTTCATGTACCCATTGTCTGACATGAACCTATCAAACCTCTTGTATCACTGTTTCGACGTCTGCTTCAAGCCATAGAGGCTCTTCTACATACTACAGACCAAAAATTCTTTGGTTGTAACCTTATAACCTTGTGATTACACATATACAGTTTCTCCTTCAGATCTACATGTAAAAAAGCTATTTTTACATCTATTTGCTCCAAAAATAGATTTAACACTGCTACAATACTCAACACAACCCTAATAGTAGTCATCTTCACAACTGGGAGAAGATCTCTGAGTAATCTACTCCTGCCCTCTGTTGGAAACCCTTCATAAGAAGCCTTGCATGTAGCATTTGCAAACATCCGACTCCTCTTCCAGCTTGCAGACATACTTGTTGTGATGTGCTCTTTTGTTATTTAGTAGTACCGTCAAATCTAAAGTCTGATTTGAATCTAATGATTGAATTTTTTCATCCATTGTGAGCTTCCACTCCCTTGAATCTTCAAGTTGAGTGACCTTCTTAAAGCACTCTGGTTCACTACTATAGTGAGTAACAAATAGTATACAAAAGAAGAATACTTTTTTAAGGATTGTTTCACTATATTGGATCTTCTGACTTCTGTAGCAGGCGACAAGGAACTTCCAATGCTCCTTCGGGTTGAGCACTTATTCTCTCTCCATCTTTGTGATCACTAATATCATATATCTCCACAAATCTTAATTCTTTAGAACTAGCTGACGGACTGTCCTGAGTTCTGACTCTATCCTTGTACATCTTTATTTCATTGAAAGTGACGTCCCTGCTTCTGATGAGTTCCTAATTCTGATAATCTCAGAACTGATACTGAATCTCATATGTGTCATATCCAATGAAGGTGCACTTGGCATATTTTGAGTCAAGCTTGCTTTTGAACCTTGCATCAACATGCACATATGCATAAAATCCAATACTTTTAAATGAGATAGACATACCTTTTTGTTACTCCAGACTTTTTCAGGTAAGCCTTCCTCCAATGTTACCGATGAACTACAACTTATCAGATAAACTGCAGTGTTAACTGCTTCAGCCCAAAACTGTTTTAACAAGTTTGCATGCTCCTAGCACACTCTGTGTTTGCTCAGTTCATTCGCTCAGCGACACCATTGTGTTGTGATGTCTTTGAGACAGTGAACTCTTGCCTGACCCTCTTTGTAGCACATAAATTCTTAAAATTTTGATCATGGTACTCACCTTCATTATCTGATCTAAGACACTTCAGCTTCAAATTTGTATCATTTTCTACCAAAACCTTCAATTTCTTCAAGACTTTTAATACATCAAAATTTTTCTTTAAGAAATAAACTCATACTTTTCGTGTGTGATTATCGATAAATATAACAAAATAGCGAGAACCTCCAATAGACTAAACTGAAGTAGGATCTTATACATAAGTATGCATTAACTCCAGTTTCTTTGATTTCACCACTAACCCGCTTTTTTAGAAAGAAACATTCTGATTTTCATATATATAGTCTTCACAAAAATTTATATCAATTGATTTCAAACCCTGAAGTTTATTCTTTGAAAGTAAGGGCTTCATAACTTTCTCGCTCATATGACCAAGCATACGGTGCCATAAACCTGCATCCATCCTAGTTTCATCCACATCAATGAAATCGGTCATTTCATTAATCCGATAAAGGGTGCCTTCAATGTTGCCCTGAGCCATCACTAATGTCCCCTGGTCACCTTCCATGAATCACCTGTGAAAGTAGTCAAAAGTCTTAACTTTATCAGCTGGCTTACAGAGATAAGATTTCTCTTCAAAATTAGAACATGTCTAACTTTAGCAAACTTCTAGATTGCTCCATCTCGTAACTTGATATCAACATCACCCTTTCTTACTATACTACAGACCTTATTATCTACCAAATAAATCTTACTTAGATCGCTCTGTGTAGATTTAAAATATCTTTTTATTGGGGCAAGCATGAAAAGAGACACTTGAATCCAATATTCAGGATTCAATAATGACCAAGGATAATACCAGGGAGTCACTTTGAATTTCACCAGTGGAAACACTAGTAGAGTAACTACTTTCCTGTCCTCCACCACCAGCTTTTCTTGGAGCTTTGCAGTCCTTCTTGAAATGTCCATTCTCACCGCAGTTCCTAATAAAAATTCTCCTTTACTTAACTTAAGCTTTCCTTTTTTGGACATGGATGTATCTCGGCTTGTATTCCTGCCCAAATTTATTTCCTGTTATCAGCATTCAACTTAAAACCTAATGAATTGTCATTTGTTGCTTTTATGAAAACTTTTTCATTTGGCATCAGATCCACGATATCATAAAACTTCAACTTCGAAGTTTCTGAATAAGTACTCACCGTCGTTACCAAGCCGTCACAGCTTTCTGACAATGAAGATAGGATCACCGGTACTCTGACATCGTCATCATCTAACTTGATCCCTGTAAAACACAACTAACTCGTCACAGTTTTAAAGTTATTGAGATGTTTTGCCATCGAACTTTCTTCCAACATCTTCATGTTGAATAACTTCTTTATCACAAAAACATTATTGGAAGCAAAAAAATTGTTTGTACAACTTAACCAATGCCGTCATGAGACCCACCATAGTTTTCTCATTCACAATATTGATTGAAAGAAATGATGAATGTTTCAACTAGTTCAAACCCAGTGCTTTTTGATCCAACACTTCTCATTCCTTCATAAACATAAATTCAGGCTTCTTTTTCACTGATACAATAAATTCACCCACATCATCTAGAAAGCAAAGTTTGTATCATTGAACTTATTCACTGAACATTGTTTCTTCGATCATTGTTCACACTCAAATCAAACCCCACTCTGAAATCAGTTGATAGAAATCACACAACGAACAATTCACAATTTTATCGAACCTTAGTATCAATTAGAAACTATAAATTTTAGAAGATTTTACAAAGAACTCGCGCAAGTTTTCTCTTCACACACAAAGAAAACTTCCAATACTCGCTCCCAAATCTTCCATCTCCAATTCGACGCAAAAATAACGTCAAATCATCGAAATCCATCACTTTAACACTCCTCACCTTCACGAGGATGATAGTTGAAGAATACCAAAGGAATATACATCAAGTCTCTCCTTACGCCACTTGAAATCGGGCTTAAAAATCAATTGACATCAACCGCTCCCGGCTCATAGGCGTTCGAACTTAGCTCCTATGCGCCAAGCTATTGTGAAACATAAGTCTATATGGGCGCATAAACGCCCAAAGCCGGCACATAAGCATCAGCTTCTCATAAGCATCCAAGTGGGGACCCACAACCCGTGCTCACCAAATCAATCTCCACTCATAACACATATATATCTAAAATTTAAAGTTTTCATTTAAACCACCCAAAATTTGTAGCCTTTCCAAACAACCGCCTCTCTTGGTTCTCTTATGTTTGTCTCTCATCACGTAACCTGTGTAGTTAGTTAGCTTCAAATATAAAACCTATAAGTACGGAAAGAAATGTTCAACTATCGGGCCACCATCTCATCGACATTTATAAGCTTTTTTCTTTCAAAATTTGAGCAAACTTGCTAGCAAACATACTTAAGATTTTACTTCAAGACATCTTGATTAAAATACTAAGCTCCCAACAACACTAAAAGAGATTGGAGTAAACCAACCGATATGTTTATCACACTTGCATATTAAAGACATTACTAAAACTAAAAAAATGAAAGTCTTGTTAAGCTAATAGAAGGCCCTCCCCCCATTTTTTATTTGCAACAAAGATAAACCAACATTGCTGAGTTTTATTGATGCATGTGATATTAGTTTTCTGGCGAGCATAATTGTCTAATTGACCTTTATGGGACTAATGATGCATTATTTTGCTCGCAAGAACAATTGACGTTTTAGCCTTTAGACTACTTTAAAAAAAAAAAATTTAGAACTTTATTGAAATAAATTATTATCAATGTTTTATTAATCTTTGCTCTCGTTAAGCTAATCCGTTTATAATTTGCTTCGTTCTTCGGTCCAAAATATTGTTCTACGCCCCAAACATTGCAAACCATCTGCGCCGCCAGACTGCAGTTAACTAACTATTTTATCTTTATGCTTCAAAAACACAAGCCAAAATCATAGCGCCCGTTCCAAGAAGTTCTTTATCCTGCATTTAATACGTGCTTACCGCAGTCGATATATCTTAGCATTTTAGGAGGATGATACTTGATCTAATGGCTCTTTTTGTAGGGTCCCGGGCAACGCTTATTAATAAGCCGATGATAAGTACTGCTCCAAATAAGCTCCTTAGCATCAGCTAACCTAACCCGAATAAGCTGATTTCTTATTTAGTTTGTATTATTGAAAAATAATTGTTTTATAATTATTTTTAGATAAATGATTATTCTGCTCATTTGATACTTGAGAAGTAAAAAACTATTTCAAAACAGTACAAAAAAATAAAATACACACCTCATTAATGAATATTAAAATTGTTAAAAATAAAACGATTAGAATTACAATATAATTCATAAAATGAATAAAACAAATCCAAATGATATTATGAAGAGAACCTTTTGGGCAAAAAACCTTTTGAAAGCCCGCAACGACAACCACAATGAATCACAACTCTCCACCGCCACCACCACCACCACCGCCGCCACCACACTAACAAGCTGCCACCACCATCCCTCCCATAGATACATATCAACACCACCACAACAACACTACCACGTACCCCTATAGTCACACACCCACAAAACCCCCACAACCACCGTCAACACACCACCAACAAATACATACCAACGCCACCACCACACCACCACAGACCCCCACAATCACACACCCGCCAAACCCCTACCAGCCACCACCTAACACACCACACCATCACACCAACAAACCACAACCACCACACCAGCAAGTCGCCGCCACCATCACTCCCAGAAATACATGCCAACACCACCACAACAACACTACCAAAAACCTTCACAGTCACACCAAAAATTTTTCTGTGCGGACTCCTGATGTGGCTCTACGTGCGGCGCAGAGTATTCCTGAATTATTTTCATATTATTTATGAGTTATTTTCAATAATCTCAAAATAACCCGCGGTCTTTATTTTTTAATTATTTCTGAATTATCTCGGGATTATTGAAAATAACTCAAAAATAACTCGAAAATAACTCAGGAATAACATGCGCTGCACGTAAACGTACGTCAGGTGTCTGGACAGAAAATGTGTGCCAGTCACACACACACTCATAGCCCCAACATAGCCACCACCCAACATACCACTACCACACTAGCAAGCCGTCACTACAACACGAACAAGCCGCCACCAAATGCAAGAGGGCAATCCACTAAGACCAGCAGACTATAGAACAACAAATGCAACAAGACAATCCAATAAGGCAACCCACCAAGCCCAACCCTTCATAAGGCAACCCATAAAGATTAAAGACCAATAGACCATAGAACAACAAATGCAACAGGGCAACCCAAAACAAAAAAATGAAGCATCAAATGCAACAGGGCAACCAATTAAAACAACCCACCAAGACCAATCTTCCATTGGGCAACCCACAAAAACCAAAGACCAATAGACTGTAGAACAACAAATGCAAGGGGACAACCCACAACAAAAAATGGAGCATTAAATGTAATAATGAAGCCCACAAAGACTAATAGACCGTAGGACAAAATGAGAAACCCAACCTCTAAATATCATAGATAAAAGGAAATTCCAAATCCCTTTTGAACTAAACGCCAGATGAAGCAAACAATCATAAACAAAAAAGGGAAAGCCATTGAACCAGTACACATAGGAAATTTCATTCAGGTCGACAAAGACCACAATAAGCAATAAGGCAAGTCAAATTTCACATTCACCAATCACATTCACTAATTTCTCCAAATTATCCAAAAATCAAAAAATCTCATAAACAAAGCCATACCATCAAAAAACAACATAAAGATACAATCCCAACAATAAAACACCATAAATTGCATAAAGAATGGCATTCCACCGAAAGTACTCACAAAACACAATAACCAGAGGTAAGAGGCAGGAGAAAGAAGTAATTGGCAACGCTAATCACGAGATAGAAGCTATTGAGGGACAGAGGCGATCGAGGAGACACGTAAGGTAAAATGAGGGTCGAGCGAGGAACAAGAGTCAGCGAGGAATGAAGGTCGAGCGCATAACTATCGTTGGTAAGAACATGGGCGGCGGGGTAGAGCCGCGGCTGCGTTTATTATACAATGCAAAGAGCATTTTTGGATAAACAATCAAAACGCAAGAAACAAACGCCTTGAGCCGTGTTTTCAAAACGCAAACGCACCAAATAAGAAGCCCAAAACAGGCCCTTAGTCACACCTGCAAATTATGAGGAGAAGATTTGGGCTCATCTCAACATAATAACATACTAATAGAATGAACATATAATACACCGTCCAGCTTCACACAAACAAATGCATATATAGAGTTTCTTCATTTACTTCTCTAAATTGATAAAATTTACAAAGAAACATGTATATAACAACAACAAGAACCCTTTAATCCACTTAGTGAGGTCGCTTACATAAATTATTTCTCCCCATTGCCATATTGAGTGTTACATTTTTATTTATTTCTAATAAATTTAAGATCATTTTTTATACATGTCGGTCTTTTTATGTCAATCTCTACATTTTCTAACAAGCCGAATCTAAAACATATAATCTTCAAACTAGATCAATAAAAGTCGCTTACATAAATTATTTCTTCATTGTCATATTGAGTGTTATATTTTTATTTATTTATAATAAATTTAAGATCAATTTTTATGTCAGTCTTTTTAGGTCAATCTCTACATTTTTCTAACATAAGTCAAATCTAAAACATATACTCTTCAAACTAGATCAACAAAAGGTTGCATTGAATGTGATCAAACCATATAAGACGAATCTCTAATCTTTTTTACAAGTCTGTATGAGGACAGCTGCAGTAATCTTCGGAAGTTATTGTAAAGCTGCTAAAAAAAAAAAATATTATTCAAAAAAACTGTGGTGGTTATAACAAAATAAGAAAAATTTTGAAAATGTATGAGCTTTTTAGCAATCACCTCCAACTTGAATCCAAACACACCCTACCACACGAGTTTTACCAACTCTTTCACAAATATACCCCATTTCTCAATTTGTCTCTAACTATTAAGCAATCATCCACCAATCTCCACGAGAGAATTAGAGGTCTAACCACCATTTTATAATATTTTCTTTCAAGTCCAATTATTACTTTCTATAACACAATAGACCCAAAATATTCCTCCTCAACCATACAACTTGAATTCAAGCATTAAGATCCACATATATCATCATCACTTTCAACAATGTACTTGAGATATCTAAAAAATCCACTAGTAAAATCATCCATTGTTACAACTATGCCACAAAAACTACTAGTAAAATTACATTCCTTGTACTCATTTTTAATTCTACTCAAACAAAGGACTTTAGACTTTAAATTAGACCTCCACATTTAAAGATTTTTCTGAACTGTCTCTAGTCTTATACATAAGAAGTATATCAACGAAAAGAATAAAAAAAAAAGGTACACCCTTTTGTAAATGTCCATTAAGAGCATCGATAACAGAAGCAAAAGAATATTGACGCGATCAAAGAATATTAATTTACATATCTGAAACCTACAAGCAAACATACACTTATAACACCTAAATATCAAACAAATCTCTTTTCGAAAACTAATAATAATAATATGAACATATAGACGTTCGTCAAAATAAGGTGTAATGGAAATTCCGCATTTTAATTCAAACCGAGATCGAGGTCAACGCATAACTTACATTCGCGGTTTAGCAAAATTTTCTAGCACAATTCAAATTAGAACCCCTGTAACTTTGAATCTGATAAAAGATCAGCGGACGCTTAATTCAATTCGAATAAATCAAACAAGTTTTGAAAAGGCAGCAAGCATATCATCAATTAAACAATGTCAAATGCCATATAAAATGCAATAAATTTACCATCAATACTCCCAGCAAAACACCAGAAACTGGACCAGTACAATCCCATTCTTAAACAATATTCAATTTTTTTTTTTTTTTTGCAGAATCAAATCCACTGCACAAAAGCCGAACAACGAATTTCTGTCAAAATAATCATCCACAAAAGCTGAACAAATCATTGCAACAAACGTAAACATAACTGAAAGAAGCCAATCTTACATATTTATAATAGATTATAAAGTTATAACCAAATAGAAATACAATATAGGTCAAACTAGTAACAAGTTTTCAGATTTGAAAATAAATAAATAAATATACAGATAGTTGTGTGAATTAAGACTAAAAACGGAACAGATAAACAGTAATGAGCATATTCATCAAAGACTAAGACAATTAATGAAACCTAGGCGCGCTCCCCACGGATACGGCGGGCAAGTTGAATGTCCTTGGGCATGATTGTAACCCTCTTAGCATGAATAGCGCACAGATTAGTGTCTTCAAAAAGTCCAACAAGATATGCCTCCGCTGCCTCCTGCAGAGCAAGAACAGCGTGGCTCTGGAAACGCAGATCCGTTTTGAAATCCTGCGCAATCTCACGAACAAGCCTCTGGAAGGGTAGCTTTCGGATTAGAAGCTCGGTGCTCTTCTGATATTTGCGAATCTCCCTACAAACGATTTAAATCAAATCAGATCGAGAGAAAAAAAAAACCCTAAAAAAACATTTCAGGATCAATCATTTACCTGAGAGCAACAGTTCCAGGGCGGTAACGATGGGGCTTCTTGACACCACCGGTAGTCGGCGCCGATTTCCTCGCAGCCTACACGAATTCACGAAAACAGAAGGCGAGATGAAAAAACCTTAATCATTGGCTAAACTAGAGTTGATTGGAAAGATCAACCAATACCTTTGTAGCAAGCTGCTTGCGGGGAGCCTTTCCTCCGGTTGACTTTCGTGCAGTTTGCTTCGTACGAGCCATTGCCGATAAACGAAATAGTTCTAGGGTTTCTCGGGTTCCTACTTCGGGGCGACGACAACTGCAAGAAGAATGTGTGATAAATGGTCGGGTGTGGCATATAAACTATGACCGCAAGGGCGGATAGAATGATGTCGGTTGGTTTTGGTGGTCTCCTAATCTGCGCTGATTTGCTTGATCGAACGACTAAGACGGCCTTCTAGAAACACATGATCCGTGCGCTCTCTTTTGATTGGCTGCAGGGCTCTTCGCGTGAATCTAGTTTGCACACAAAAATTATAAATAAGCCCCTTGGTAAATATAGGAATATTTTCGAAAAGTTTATCCCGTGATTAATTAATGGTTAATTCACCCTCTTCGCATATGTATACCATTTATCATAATTTAATCATTATGATAACTCTTGTAAGTCATTTTCATGTCAACACATTATAATTTATGTTTTATTCCAAGAGTTCGGAGCTTAGGCATGTTGACCTCATTTTCTATTGTGGTCAAGTATTTCTTCCTTATGAGCCTAAAATCTAGCCATAGAATTTTCCTGTTGATTATTCCTATATGACTAGTAAAGAAACTCTCACGATTATAAATTATAAAACTTTGCATTGCTCGTCTTGAAGTTCTACATGTTAGTTCTAATCTCTAGCACCTAATAGGTGGAACCAATATGGGGGAGCTCAATAAGAGTCATCATAGGATTGTTTGGCCTTAGGGTTAACCTTGAGTGGTGTGGTCTTGATCAGGTCACATACACACACTTGCACTTGCACACAACCTAAACCTAATATGCTTAGCCTGGTTCCCTACTTATTTTGGAAACTCGTGAACTCATGTGGGTGGGTGGTTCCCTAAATATTTTGGAAACTCGTGAACTCATGTGGGTGGGTGGGTGGTTCCCTAAGCCCATAGCCTTAGGCTAAGGTTTGGCTAAAACCAGCATATGGAAGATCCAAAATGGGATTTTCCTTGGTCCTATGGCTCAATAGGGTGACCTCATGTTTAACATTCTCAATTGATATCAATTTTGACCTAAAATTATCAAAATTACCAAAATGTCCTTTCATACCTCGAAAATACAAAAAATTCCCAAAATCACTCGAAATATCCCAAAAATCAATTTGAACCACTCCATCGAGCCCAATTTGACTAAATTGACTCATTTTGACCAAGATCCCAAAATTACCCCTAAATGCCTAAATTCCCCAATTCACTCCCAATTTCCTCCAAATTGACTTCAATCTCACCTAATTTAAATTCTAAACTCAATTTCATCATAATCAATCCCAATTGAGACAAAAAAAACCAAGCTCAATTGAACCCATTTCAAGCTCAATTCCAAACCTAATTTTGCCCCAAAATTCAAAATCTCCTAATTTGAACTTCATGACTCTGCAATTCCCACCCAATTGATATCCAAAACTCGTCATCATAATCTCTTGGACCAATTTGAACCTTCAATTGAACCAAATCCAAATCCTATCCCAATCCAAACCCAAGTCCAACCCAAATGTCTCAAAATTGATCATAAGCCAAATTCCACTAAATTAAGCCTTCCAATCAATTCAAAATCACACAATTCCTTTTCAAAACTTTTCACCGCAATCATCAACATCAAATTGATCAATCACTTGACCAAAGTTTTAGCTCAAACCTAACCTAGACCCAAGTCGTTGTACCAAAATGGAGGTCTGATTTGAACGACCAGGTACAACATCACATTTGACACGAACCCAAATCTCAAATTTAACCAAACCCATTCAAATTGACCAATCATGGTCACCACAGTCAGCATTTGAACCCTATGAACCAGCCTAGATCAACCTAACCCAATCTACTTGAGCCATAGACCAAGGGTCCTTTGAATTAAGGAATTCCCTTCCTAAAATGACTAAACCAAGGAAACATTTGTCATCAACCATCAAGCCACCCAACTAATAATAATTGAGGCTTCCTTTTGGTTCTCCTGAACCACCTAGCCACCAGCCCTGGCCTGGTCGATCGGCCTAGTCACCGGAAAATATCAAAATTGAGAGCCTCCTCAAGGGACCAAACCCAAAATTTCACCCATCCAAGTTGGCTCACCCTAATTGATCACTTGCATCTTTCGCCCCTCCACCTAAGGAATAGAGTGCACCCACTGGTCAACCCAATTGGCCACTTCTTCTCCCTCTATTTAAACCACCCCCTCCACGACCAAACAAAGAAGTGTGCTTGAACCTATGGAAAACTCTGTCAAATTATCTCCAAAACCTTCTAGCACTCAAGGCAAGCTCGCCCCCACCATTCCAGCCTCTCCCTACCACTAAAGAACCCTAATTTAAAACTTAAAATCTAGGGCCTTTTTCTATCACTCCACAAAACATCCTCAAACTTCAAATAAAATCACCACTGAGCTTCCCCAGAGCAAAAGAAAGTTGCCCATCAAAACCCCCATCTCCAAAGCACTATAAACCATTCATAAACCAAGACCTCCCCGCCTGTTGAAGGAAGTCTAACTCAGAGCATTCACCAAAAGAAACCAACACTTATAGGAGGTTCGCTGGACTCCACTGAAGCTTTTTCAAGCATCCGATTGAGGCTTCCCCTCTCAGACAAAGGTATAACCCATTTTCCAACAAATCGAGTCAGAAGATTTTATTTTTTCGAGGAATTACACCGTTGAACATCTCGACATTACAAGAAAATCTCTATGTTCTTCTCTCCCTTCCTCTCTCTCCTCTCTTCTTATTTTTCTCTTAGCTCTCAAGAGGACTTGACTTGTTCTTATTTGACTTTGCTTGGCTTGGCTTCCTAGCACTCAAGGCAAGCTCGCCCCCACCATTCCAGCCTCTCCCTACCACTAAAGAACCCTAATTTAAAACTTAAAATCTAGGGCCTTTTTCTATCACTCCACAAAACATCCTCAAACTTCAAATAAAATCACCACTGAGCTTCCCCAGAGCAAAAGAAAGTTGCCCATCAAAACCCCCATCTCCAAAGCACTATAAACCATTCATAAACCAAGACCTCCCCGCCTGTTGAAGGAAGTCTAACTCAGAGCATTCACCAAAAGAAACCAACACTTATAGGAGGTTCGCTGGACTCCACTGAAGCTTTTTCAAGCATCCGATTGAGGCTTCCCCTCTCAGACAAAGGTATAACCCATTTTCCAACAAATCGAGTCTGATTTGGGCTTTTGTGAAGAAAAGTTTAATTTCATGAGCATGTGACCTTATAAATAGGTTCGTATGGACCAGATGAAGGTGTATGAACAAATCTCATGTGATTTCATTAAGTATCGAACAAGATCTTAGGGTTTTAAGTTGGATGGTTCTCGGGTTAGGACGATCGGGGAAGATAAACAGATGTCGTCTGTTTCCGCGTGTATCTTTGGACGGTTAAGATAGTGTCGGACAGAAGGATGGAGCGGTAAAGTATAGACATGTGACAGCTGACTCAGGCGACAACGTTAAATTGTGGAGCCACACGTGTTAGTTCGGAGCGCCGTAAGATGAGGTGGCGCCGAGTATGATAAATAGTAAACTAAGGATTAAGTGAATTTATTTTAATTTCATAACTTAGAAATTTCATAATTTAGTGTACAAAAATCAAAAAAATAAAATAAAAATACTCCCTTGCTTGGTGAATAAAGCAGAATAATTTGAAAAAAAATATAGAAAATTATTTGATGAGCCTCAAATTTTAAATAAATTAAATACCCTCTATACTTTTTTAATTCAAATTAAATAAATAATAATCACCATGACTTGAAACTTTACCGGTTGATTCCTCATGTTAATGGAGGTGTTATTTGATTTTTCCAAGTTCAAAGAGCATCTTTAGTTTTGAAATCCCAATTTTCAAGCCTAGGTGTCTGTTTTGCTTAAAATAATTTTATAAATTAAAAAATATATAAAAAAAAAGTGAGAGTTATTTTGGTAGATTCCTTGTAGTTAGAGGATTCTAGAAAATATGTAAATTAAGTTTAAATGTTTATGTAAATTACTATACTTAACTAAACCCTAAAAACTCACTAAAATTAAAATGAATAAAATAATATTAAAAATCAACAAAAAATTATTTCACACAATAAATAATGACAATTTTAACTTGTTGTAAAAATTTGGGACTCATTTGAGTTAATTTGACCACTAAAATCAAATTTTTAAGTAAAAAGGTATTTGTACATTAAAGTAATTATCATAAATTAACTATAATTAGGAAAATTACGAAAAGTGGTTATCTGAATTCCTTGTGATCAGAGACACTTTGGAAAAATAAAATTATTTGAAAATAAATAGTTCATTTTTGAGCTTTAAGAACCTGAGTAATATAAACTCTATATAATATTTTCTTATCTAAATCAAGAGTTTATTTAGGTGACTTCGATCATTTAAGATGTAATTAATTGTAGGGGTTTGCCTCTATAGAGATATTTAAGAACCTGAGTAATATAAACTCTATATAATATTTTCTGATCTAAATCAAGAGTTTTTTTAGGTGACTTCGGTCATTTAAGATGTAATTAATTGTAGGGGTTTGCCTCTATAGATAACTTTAAGAACCTTAGTAATATAAACCCTATATAATCTTCCATGTTATATAGGGAAACTTGTCAATTTATATAAAAAATGGTTTGCAGACAAAACAAATGTTATAATCTCTGTCGTTTTTCTAATTGAACCACACAGATAAGTGATATGTCTCTTTATTGGGATAGAGATGTCACTTGCAGTGTTGTGCTATTTTATTTAAACTATTGTTTATATGAAATCGGTTCGGTTTCATATTTTAAAAAATTAAAATATTATTTTTCAAATTTAAGGCATTGTTTTTCTATAAATCAAATTTATATGTATATTAATTAAATAAAAAACTATACCTCTTCAATTTTCAAAGGCAAACAAGGCACCACTCCTACTAGAGCCTATGTTGCCAAACTCAATGCCTCAGTGTCAAATGTACAACACCAAGGTGACTTGGATATACTACCTCAACGCACCACTTTCAAAGATGCATCACAAATACCAACATAAAGGAGCATAACTAGAAGCCTTAGGGCCAGTTCTTTAATATTGCAGCACCTATTTCATAGCTAAGGCGCCATAACCACAAAGCTATAATGCGACAACCTTGGGTGGATTGAAGAACTGTTGAGAATGGGGTGACTTCCTTAGTAGGAGTCACTTATGTTTGTGTGTTGAGAATCAAGTGGAATGAGAAGGAGAATTTGGTCAAAGATAATGAAGAATATTCATCTCTTTGCAGATCATGTTTTATATTACCGAAATTCCTCTTGTTTATCTATTTTCTATGATTTTTTAATGTTTGAAATAAAATATTTCTTTGTGTTATGTGTTAAAAGTACACTAAGGCATAAGTATTTACTATAGGTTTATAAATTTAAAGTTATGAATTCATAGAAAAAGGGTTTCTCATAAGCTTCATGTTTATGTTTATTTGTGTATTTTTTTCAATTTTATTTAGCTTGAATGATGGGCACATTATTATTAAAACATTAATGTACTTTTGAAATTGCGACAAAGTCTAATTAGTGCATTATAAAAATCACTGTGTGAGATAGAAGAATATAAATACTTATCTCGTAACTTCTCTATCTTAAATAAAATACAAGAATTCAACTTTCAAATTACTAAGTGCCTGGCCATATTGCCCGGGATTTAGAGATCAAGATTTTAATTGCTTTCGACATAGGCTTGAAATTTGCAGCTTTATGATTGAAAGCCTTAAAATTTTAGACAAAAATCTTGACATGAATCTTAACTTTTTAAATTTCCAAATCCTTAAGTTTATATGAATTGAGCAATTTATATAACAATTTTAGAAAGGAGTGCTTGAATAGAAAATATATTTTTTTGGCAAGTATTTAATTTCATTTAAAAGATTCAATTTTACTTATTGTGGGATCGTTCTTGAACTCTTTTCTATTATATTACTTATGCAACACGTGCACTTACGTTAACTCGTGTAAAGTTAAGTTAAGTAGCTCAACTCTTGTATGGCTCAATTGTCAGAGGGAGAAATCCATAGAGAGCTTGAAATGGGGTCATTCCAATAAGAAGAATGGAAAGATATGTTGTATGAATATTCATACCATAATAAACATTTGAGCAATTCTTTAGACTGTCCATAAAATAAAAATGAGTATATTGTTTCAATCCACGGTGGATGACATCTGTGCGGCCATCCATTTTAGGGTGTTATGCGGTATTAAGATATAATCGTGTTCCCAAATCTTTCAATATGTATTTCTAAAAAAGTGCTCCCGAAAGACAATCTTCATCAGAGACTATAATATTAGAAATGCAATGAAAATGGATGTATATAATAATAAACATGAATAGAGATGGAGTCAAAGTTTAGTTTCAATGTTATGAATTGGTTAAATTTAGTAAGGCCATCCACTACAATCATAATTGAGGATTCACCCAAAGTAAGTGGACTACATCATAATTGTAGATTTGCTAAGTGGTAAGTGATAAGTGACAAAGACCATTGAGAGATCATCCTACATGGCTTGAACAATAAATATCAGTCGAATCACACATGTCGGGGCAAAAGTAAGTGGTAAGTGATAAGTGACAAAGACCATTGAGATTTGAGAGATCATCCTACATGGCTCGAACAATAAATATCGGTCGAATCACACGTCGGGGCAAAAAATGTTGATATTTAGTTAACATGAAAAAAGAGGCAAGAGATCACAAAAGTTTGCGTAGCATATGTCATATGTGAATTTAAAAATATAAAATAAAGATAGACGTGGCACGTGTAAGTGTAAATACAAAATAAATGTGTGATAGTTATGTAAATTTCCCAAAAAATTGACCTACCGTTTACGTGAATCATTAGAGCCTGGCGGGCTTACGCTTCGTCTTCTTTTTCTCTTCGCAGAAGCTGACCAACACTTCTCATCGCCGCTAGGGTTTCACCAACATGATTCTGCTCGCCCGGCGGAAACCTCCATTTCTAATCCCAACGCATTATTTCTCCCGCAGTGCCTTTCTCCTCGATCCCTCACTCTCACCCCAACGCCTCCAAAACCCTAACCCTTGCCATTGCACTTGCCCCAAAACCTCTCCTTTCTCCACCCAGTCCTCTAAATTCCCGGAGTACGAGATGCCCTCCGTCACCTGGGGGGTGGTCCAGGGCCGCAAGGAGCGACTTGTCTCACGCGTCATTATTTCCGACTATCTCAAATCCATAGGCGTCATCCCCAACGAGCTCGAACATCTTGAGCTCCCTTCCACCGTTGAAGTCATGCGCGGCCGCGTGGAGTTTCTCCAGCGCCTCGGCCTTACAGTGGACGACATGAACGAATATCCCCTTATGCTGGCATGCAGCGTCCGTAAGAACATGATCCCTGTCCTCGGCTACCTCGAAAAGATTGGCATCAGCCGCTCCAAGCTAGGAGAATTCGTTCGAAACTACCCCCAGGTTCTCCATGCTAGCGTCGTCGTCGAGCTTGCACCCGTAATCAAGTTCCTACGAGGCCTCGATGTTGAGCGCCATGATATCCCTTACGTCCTCCAGCGCTACCCAGAACTGCTCGGCTTCAAGCTGGAGGGCACCATGAGCACTTCGGTGGCCTACCTCGTCAGTATCGGTGTCTGGCCGAGGGACATCGGCCCCATGGTGACTCAATACTCTTATTTTCTGGGCATGCGGGTTGGAACCACCATCAAACCTCTAGTGGAATACATAATATCTTTGGGAGTACCCAAGAGGATTCTTGCCAGAATGCTTGAGAAGAGGACATATATTCTTGGGTATGATCTCGAGGAGACCGTGAAGCCCAACGTTGACACTCTACTCAGCTTTGGTGTGAGGCGGGAGGCCCTGCCTTCGTTGATTGCTCAGTATCCGCAGATTCTTGGGTTGCCTGTCAAGGCTAAGTTGTCGACTCAGCAATTTTTTTTCAACTTGAAGCTTAAGATAGACCCCGAAGGATTTGCTCGGGCTTTGGAGAAGATGCCCCAAATTATTAGTCTCAGTCAGAATGTTATTATGAAGCCGGTGGATTTCCTCAGGGGACGAGCCATACCCGATGAGGATGTTGCGAGGATGATTGTTAAGTGCCCCCAACTGCTTGCATGCAGTGTTGCGCTGATGAAGAATAGTTACTATTTCTTCAAAAGCGAAATGCAGAGGCCATTGAAGGACCTATTTGAATTTCCAGAGTATTTCACCTACAGTTTGGAGTCAAGAATTAAGCCGAGGCATCAGAAATTGGCTAGCAAGGGAATTAAGTGCAGTTTGGCTTGGTTACTGAATTGCAGTGATCGGAGGTTCGAGGAGAGATTACAGGCTGATTACATTGAAGAAGATACTCCCGGACCTTCCTTCTTTATGGGGGGGATGTTAGAGATGCCTGGGAGTTATCTGGTATCCGAACAGGAGGATAGTAACAGTGACGATGAAGTACTTTACAGGAGGACTGTTTCTCTCTAAGAAATCATTTGCATTAATGGCTGCTTTGGTGGTTATTGAAGGTCAGCTTTCCATTGAATTAATTTTCTCTTACAATTAATGTTTTCAAGTGCCTTCCTTATGACAATCCCATCTTTGATTTTGGGATGTGAATAATCAGATTCGATTATTTTAGGTGATTTTTATCTACAGCTTAGATTTAGTTAAATAAGATTTATTAAATCCGATATATCCAGTTTTATCAAATCCAGTGCGCCACAGAGGAGCTTGCAAGCGACGACAGCCGTCTTGTAGTCAGATTTAGTAAATCTGAATTTATGTCGTAAAAGAGTTGGAACAGGAGAAATTTCGATTTATCAGAGCATTGTATTTGTTATTTTTTTTATTTTTTTTTATTTTTTAGTGTTTGTTTGGATTTAAGTTAAATCCATCACTAAATCCTTTTAATAATATGCTATCAAACACCGCCTTAATCTGTTCTTTCATTTTATTTTTTAAAACACACACAACTGTACTATGAGATGGAGGGTTACAGATCTAATGACAGGGAAGAGAACATGGGTGATGAAGAAGGTGAATTTTAATTTAATCACATATTATGAAAGCTACAATCTTAGAGTTTTTTATTAAACTTGAAATATAATTTTTGGTTTTTATGGGCACTTTATTTATACATTCTATTTTGCAAGATTTTGTCATTTAGCATTTGTAAATACAAATTACTTGAGGAAAAAAAAAACATTTTCGCCCACTATATTTTAATATTTTATGTTGATGACTACCATATTATAATCTTCATAATAATCACTCATGATTGATTCAATTTTTAAGTGCCTCACTTTGCTCCGGGAGCACCTAGGTAGGAATCTAGCAACAACCATGTTGCCTTTAGGCGTCTAACACCTTTAATACCACAAGCCAAGTCAAACTTATCCATGCATCTATGCACAACAATGACAGTATGTGAAATATCTTAATATGTACATACCATAGCATATATGATACCTTCAATTGTAATATAATGCACTCTAGTCATATAATCATAGAACATTTTGAGAAACTAAAGTGACTGGAAAGTGTCCATTTTAGGCAGTTGTTGCAGTTTTGAAGGTAAGTTATGAAATTACTATAGAAAAAGTTGGAGCTGTTATTATATATTCTTTGTTTTTGAAAAAGCCTACTGTCATGTTCTGCGTGCAAATAAAAAAAAAGATCTCACTTCGCACTTTTACCTTGCCCTTTGCTTGTGTTACTGTCAACTTAACTTGCATGCTTTTAATCCACACAATGCCTGCTCACTACTCCTGTTACTCATTGCGTACAACCTTGCTAGCTCCTACTTCCCCTCTCACTAAGTTAGTGTTGCATGCTTGTCTTTTGACTGCCTTCAACATGCATACTGCTGCCACAATTTTACAATCATTATCTACAGCACTCTTTGCTGATCCCTCACAAACCATAGGGCATGCAAACTTCATCCCTTACCCAGTTTTATTAGTCGGTGTTATGACTTGGGTGTTATGACTTGGGTTTTTCCATTTTTGTTAACGTCTTCACGATTTCTAGTGGGTAGCATCCACTCTTCATTGTCAATGCTAACATCAAATTCAAGGGTACCAACTTTTTTCCAAAAAATAAAATGGCAGCATCTTTGTTTTCATTGAATTATGGTTCTAGTACTAGCATATCTATATAAAAACATGAGAAAGTGCATTAAGGAAAATAAAATAAAGCAGAACATCTTCAATAATGAATATATATTTTAATAATGAATACTATAGATTTCTTATATAAATATTAATCACATGTAATCAAATTGATGTTATATTATCTTTAAACCTAATGAGTCTAGCATCTCCACAAATTCATGTGAGAGAGACAAATAGCTTCTATATCTTGTGCAATAAATGAAGAACCGATTGATCAAGCAGAGAGCTATGTTAATGGCCTATTGAAATCATCTATTTAAGCCAATCAATGCTAGGATGAGGTGTCCTTTAGAAAATTTGGAACAACCGAGAGATTAATGTTGACCCAATCATTGCCAAGAGATGAGATTGCTACGGGAGATGAGATTTGGAAAAGTTAAGATCATCATAGGAATATGGTTCGGCATGGATAATGGGAGACTATGGGTCCGTTTGGGGCAAATTATAAGCACCGCCCCCCCCTACCTGTTTGTTTTGTATGTTCGGACAACTTATATCAAAACCGCGTTTAATTTTTTGATTACACTCGATCACGGGTTTATACCCGCTATCCGTGTTCGCACGTAGTTTCCCTCGCTCGTTTTACGCCTCTACCTTCTTGCTCACGAAACCCTACCCTCTGCCAAAAGCCATTCAAAGCCCTCCGTCGCTCTTCGTCGCCGAAAGCCAGGCGCCCCTTACTACACATCCTCCGGGCGCTCTCTGTCCTCCTCTGCCTAAAATTAGGCGGGGCAAGTATACTCTCCCCTAGCCATCGATGTCTTGTTCACCGATCCATCCTTAATTTCTTATTTGAATTTTATGCTATGAAATTTTTTTGTATCTTTTTCATTTTTTTATGGATTGATAATTATAACCTGACTTTCAATTACAAAAATAACCAAAATTTTAACCTTTATATCATAGGAAAAAGGTGTGGCAACTTGATGTGGAAGATGTGCTCATTCTGATAAGTATTTATTGTTATGACATTTGATGATCATATGATTTCTTGTAACGTCATGTGTATTTTCATACCGTGCCTTATTAAGATGGTTTTTAGTTGGCTGAAGATTCTATTTGGACAGATTTTTATTTGTTTTGTCCTAATGATGTTTAGGACAAATAAAAACATGGATTATTATCTATGTAAGCATCTTTTTGCAAGTGTTTTTTTGTTCATTTGACGCCTATTGTTATTCTATATGTAATATTACTTATATTCGGCGTGCTCTTACATTCTGAAAACAATGGCAGAGGCCTCATTATTTGGGGCATTTACATACACAACCACCTAATTCCTGTGTATTTTCATATCAAACACTTGTACTTTGTTTTTTTTTTACATTTATACCACCCAAATTTTTCATATAACATAAAAAAATAATATCCTTATTTTAACTTAGAAAGCGAAATAGAATTTTTCATGCATTGATAATGATGGCATGTATCTAAAAATTGAATTCTAGTTTAGGTATTAGATTTGTAAATGCATAGGAATTGAGTAGTATGTATGTAATTCTCCCTTTATTATTATTATTATTATTATTTTTATTATTATTGTTTTTTATGATTATTCATAATTTGGTTCAGCTATTCCATTTTACTTTTAACGCTTTTCATGCATTGATCATGATGGCATGTATCTAAAAATTGAATTGTAGTTTAGGTATTAGATTTGTAAATGCATAGGAATTGAGTGGTATGTATGTAATTCTCCCTTCATTATTTTTATTATTATTACTTTTTATGATTATTCATAATTTGGTTCAGCTATTCCATATTACTTTTAACGCTTTGATCAGATACTCATTGTTCTTTTCGCATGAGCTCTGAGCTCTCTGGATCCTTGAATTACGAGTTCATGTATATCTGGTGCAATTGGCTACCTGTGGTGAACTAGCACCTGGGGGTATCTTAACACTGCATTTTCTTTACTGTAAGAAAGGAGTATGAAATGCATGTTTATTTTATAGCAGGAGCTAAAAATCTTCTACGGCTCTCTTTTATCATCCAAGTCTTTGGAAGATGAATTTTGCTCAAACAGGTTTGAAATATTGATTTTGTGATTGATGTCTTGCAAGAGATAAAATTGGAAGGTTTACATACAGTACCAAGCAATTCTCATGCATTTACATAACTAGCATCTGAAGTGTACCCTTTATGTTCATAGTAAATTCATAATAAACTGTTTGAGTTGTTCCACTTATTCTTTGTAAATTATTTTACAATTTCTGCCCATATAATGTTGTCTTGTCCTTCATATTCATATAATGTTGTGTGATAATGGATATACAATTGTGATGATAAGTATTAATACATCAGTGATCCTTCACTCTTGAAAAAAAAAACTCATTAGTTTATGGGTTAGTTAAGTATGTTAAGCAGTTATTATGGTATATGTTTTTTCATGATGTTTAATGATACTCCGTATTTTTTCCCCTACTCTTTGGAAGGCTTTTTTTCTTATCCAATAGAAGAAGTTAGAGAAGCTGGAGCGTGTGAAGGCCAGTGGGAGGAAGGGGGAGAAAAGCAAGTGTTAATTTCTTCAATGGTTGGTTCTTGGCAATTTATTTTTGCTTTCTCAGCTAGCTCTAATCTTAATTATCTCATTAGGATTTTGGTGTGAAATCCTGTTGCTTTCCCACCAGCCTCGTAGTCTCATAAAATTTGCCTTTCTACATTTATATCACCAAAATATTTCATATCACAAATTCTTTCCCCAGTGCTATTCTAATATTAATGTCTTTCTCAATTTTCAAAGCTAGGAAATGTAGCAGCATTATTATGAAACATTTAATGGATACTCTAATATTAATGTCTCCTGAAAGGCTTAAATAAAGTTGTGTTTGCTCATTTGTTTGGTTAATTGCCATATGCTTAGATTTGTTCGTTCTGAGTTTTGTAGTTGGAATAACCTTGAATATTTGATACTAATGTTATTGAATGCATTTTTTTTTTATTTATCACCTACTAGTAACTCGTGCAATGAGTAAGAGCAAATAGGTTGGAACATCGGCCATGTGGGATAGAGATGCCACCAATATTTTTTGTGATCTGTCTTAGGAAGGTCGAGCTGGGAAATAGACCAACGACATATTTTAGCAAAGAAGGTTGACAAAATGTTATAGTCAAATTCAAAGAATTGACAGGAAGAGACTATGATTGGATGAAATTTAAGAACAAGTGAGATCAATTAAAGAATGACTGAAAAATATGGAAAGAACTTAAGATGGGAACTATAGGTTTAGATTGGGATCCAGTGAAGCGGATAATAGATGCTCATGAGGATTGGTGGGCTGAAAAACTAGAGGTAATGACATATCTTTCACCATTTCTTTAATTCATTTTTAGTTATATTAAACTGCTTTAACTAATTCAATTTGCTATGCCGTGCAAGTCGTGCCGGAAGCTAAGAAATTTAAATTCAATGACAATGATCCAATAATGGAAGAGAAATTGGATGACATGTTCAGTGAGGTTGTTGCAACGGGAGCTCGTGCTTTTACCCTATATGAGCCTGACTTCATTGTCACAGCAGTTGTACTGGGAACCGATCATGTAAGTTACTTAGGAGAAGTGCCCTGTGAAATCCAAAGGGATGTGGAATCCACATTCGTTTCAAAACGACCCAGAGTGGAGAATAGGAAGAAAGGAGCCGCATTCGTCAGGAGCACAATCGAAAAACTAGCTGAATCAGTTTTTACCGTTGTATCATGGATCGTTATTTTTTTTTTCTAGCACTCATTTTTTATTCACACTCCTTACGATAATATTGTCGTTTTCATATCTTTTGTGGATATATTTTGTATAGATGTATTTAAATGGCTAAAAGTTTTAACCGTTCTCTTTTAACTAACTTTTGTGGGATGGATCCAGAACAATTGGTGATAAATTGGTTAGAAAGATTGTTCTTATTCTTATTTTATTATACGACTACTATCTTACATGCATCGACCGAACCTCATGTATGACGTCAATTTATGTTGGTGATAAATTGGTCGGTGAGTTACTACAGGACCATCCGACCCGCTCTGCAAACATGTTCCGTATGACGAAAGAGATTTTCATCGACCTGTTTTACAAACTATAATACCAACATGGTTTGAATGGCTCGACCGGAATGACATCCATAGAGGTGTTAGCAATAGCTCTATATATTATCTCAGAATGAGTTTATTAGAGGAGCCATGAAGCGACTCCAACATTCATCAGAGACTATTAGCATGTATTTCTCGATTGGTCTGGAGACTCTAATAAGTTTAGCCTCCAAGATAATTAAGCCCGAGGATCCCACATTCCAGTCCATTTAGACTCATATTGCGAATGTCAATCACTACATGTTGTTCTTCAAGGTATCTATTAAAGATATCTTTATTATATTAAAATTAATTATCTCTCAATTATAAATAGATCAAACATTATAAAATTTAGGACTGTATAGGAGCTATCGATGGAACTCACGTTGATGCACATGTATCTACCATCGACAAGGTCGCCTACATTAGACATTGCGGTTCCCCCACACAAAATATGATGGTCGTTTATATTTTCAACATGTGTTTCACATTTGTGATGACTGGATGGGAAGACAACGCTTACAATAGCCATGTTTTTAAGTTTGCAACCAGACGCCGAAGACATTGCTTCCCGTACCCCCCTCATGGTACGTATTTATATCAAATATGTTTGATATTTCTGAATCGTTTCTAAATTGTGTATTCATGCAGGTAAATATTACCTGGTTTACGTCGGATATCCTTTATAAAGGGGATTTCTTCTTTTCTTTTCCCCTTAATCTATCTTTGAATGATCTGTATGCTAATGCTGCAAGATATGTGAGACCAAATCTCTGGTAGTATCTATAAATTTGTCTTCCATTGTTTCGCTTTTTTAATAATGCTCCTTAGTAATCAGCGCACCAAGTTTGGAGCTTTTGCTTTTGTTGAAGGAAGCGGTTTTTGTTGCTCTCATGTTGTTTGTTTTTTGTCCTCTGTGAGTTCTGAGAACAATTTCTTTTTGAATTTGGGAACGATGAAACTTTTATTTTACTCGAAATGAAAAAATTGGGAGCATGGATTCATGAGCTTGGATGTATAACCTTCTGAAGTTCCAGGTTTTACTTAGTCTTAGATCCTTTCTAGTTATATTTTAAGCAAGAAACAATACCATGTTATGAAAAACTGGAATGCTTTTATGTTTCTTGGGATAATAGGAGCTGGTTTGTTGATGATCTATATATGGGATCTTAGTGGAATCACAATTGCATGAAATGGGCACGTCGTAAATTAGTGCTTGAAGCTATTGGTTATGGATATTTCATCAATAAATTCAGACTCAATCTTTTTGAGTTTTAATTTGTCATTCAGACCAATTTCTTTCTATTTGGGATCCAAGCACACTTTTTGTTCTGCTCTACGATGATTTGACAATAAATTGTTTCTCATTATCTTTTGTATTTGAAATTTATTTGGACTAATGAGGTTTTTGGTCTGATGACCTATGTAAAATGGAACTAAGAGCATTATTCTAATGTTTATAACATCTATATAGAATTAAAATTTGAGAAATTTACAGACATACTGTCAAGTCTTATGTATTTGTATATCTACCACCCAAAGCTTTGATATTTACACTTATAACGTATATCTACCACCCAAAGCTTTGATATTTACACTTAGAACGCTTTGGTGTCATAAGTCTATGCATGAAAATGTGTATTTCAATTTTAAAAATATAGTGTATTTTTAATGTGGTGTTAAAGATCTAGGTGATTTTCATGTAAGGAAGGATGAATATTTGGTTGTTATATATGTTGATATACACGAATTGTGTTGTACTTATGTAAATGTCCCTAATTGTTTTTGTCTTGCTCATCGTGAGTTTGAGTTAGTTGACATTGTTGTCATGTTCCTCTATTTTTTTAATTTTTTTGGTCAAGGAAAATTTACGACATTCATTCAAATTCATCTTGAGTCATTTTGAGCAAGAAACATTCTATATTCAAATTTGGGATTTTATCCATTGGTTTTGGTTCCTCTGAAGAAGCATGGAAATCAATACAAGTAACAGGTTGTTTACTATCCGAGTGACCATTAGGATAGTTTATAAAAAAATTCAGGAGATTTATTTGCGAGAGTTTTATGCTATGATGGGCGAGGTGCATTTCTATTCTGTGGCATTAAAATTCAGTTAATTTTTCACAGCAATCAATAAGCTTATAAGCCATCTGGTGTGATCTGCATTTCCTCCTCCATAAGAATTAACGAACTTATTGTTGTATCTTTCTAGGATATTGTTTTATGGATGCAAATCTTTGGACGTGCAATTCTATTTGTTTTTGGAATTTGTTTTCTTGATCAAGTGTTATTGATGTATTCTATCTTTAATAATTGCAGAACGATGAGCTTCAGGTATTCAGAGAAGTCCGAGCGAGTGCTATGCCGATGCAAACTGTCGTTTTTGTTACTCACGTTACATCAACAACATAGCTACGGGCAACAGTTCTACAAGTGCTGGTGGGCAAATGGACTAGACGGTTGTTGGTTCTTCAGGTGGGCAAACAGTCTGACGAATTCTACGGTATCCCAAACAGAAAATGTTGCTCAAGGTTCGACAACATCCAATTGGAGAACGTCGCTCACGGTTGGACGGTATCCCAACCGGACATTGTTGCTCGGGGTTCAACGATTTCCCAACCGGACAACGTTCGTTGTGACATGCTCCTATATTTTAAAATAAATATTGTCGCTCTTTTGCTTGTAATTTTAACATTTTATTTATTTATTTTTTTGTTTCTTGATACTCACTATTAAGTGAGGTGTATATCTTTTTTTCTAGTTGTGTTTCAAATGGTAGTTGTTTATGTTATAGAGGCTAGGTTTTATGGTATAATAGAGTAATGTAACTGTTCTTATCGATCTATATTTTGTTGTTTGTTATTGTTGCTTTGTCTATCGATCTATATTTTGTTGTGTAGTGCTATAGTATCATGTGCGTAGGATAATATGGGTTTATTCAACATAATAATATGGGCGTTGATGGTGATATAAATTATAAATTCCAAACTTGGTTATTAAAATCAGAATGTTTCCTACGAATATTGTGAGATATGTGGTTTCCAATGGCCTTTGATAGAGTTTGGAAATGCCAAGAAAAAAAAGAGTATCAAAGAAAAAAAAGGAAACTTGTGTTTTTGGTAAAATTTTTGGTTGAAGGTGGTGCGTTTATTTGTATGGTTGTTAGACTCATACGATCAAGTTTCTAAATTCTCATGCTTAAATAGAAATGATGGGAAAAAAGAAATGGTCATTTATCTAGAAATAACTGTAAATCAGTTGTTTTCTAAACGCAGAAATCAAATAGCTACATAACTTATCCAAATTAGGGGCAAAATGTTCATTTATCAAGAAACAACAACAGATCAGTTGTTTTTCAAACGCACAAATCAAACAATCAGCCAGTTTATTCGGACCAGCTGTTGATCAGTTCCTTTGAGTTTTTGGTATTATCGTGGTTGTATTTCAATAGAGCGCTATAATTGTGATGCTTCTATTAGCCCGCTCAATTCCTATTTTATCTTCAACAAACTGTGTTAATTCCATAATTTTCTTCAATCCTCGTAGTCTCAATAGATGAAGTGTTGCACGTATGTCGAGTATTAGACCCTTCATAAAATTTCCCCCTAGCACTGCTTTAGAAATTCCCCTCAGTTGTCCTTACAATAGCTCAAACCTCTCTGTACATTAAAAAATAGTCCCATTCTGATTCAAGACAAAGAATTGCTTGTGTAGGTCTCTTTCTTGAATGACTCAAAAGCATTCCAACAAGCAATCCTTAAATTCCTCTCAAAACCAAATCGGGTATTTAACCTCCGTCTATTGAAACCATGCTTGATCTTTTCCTTTCAAATATAACTCTGCCGTCATGAGTTTATCCTCTCCATTTAGCCCATTCTCTGTAAAATATTGCTCCACCTGCTATACCACTTATGTGCATCTTCTCACTCCAATATTTGTGTATTCAACTTTCTAACGATAACATCTCCACCGCAACTTCCTCTCTCTCCATGTTTTCCCCCACTTATCAAGCATAGCACTCCCTCTTTCGATAATAGTCATACCCTTCCCTGCTTCTTTGCTTCCATCTTTGTGGATTGAGTCATTGGCGAATACTTGAATTAGGTCTCTTGTATCTCGTCGACGCTCTCGAATCGGTTGTCCATGGCAGAAAACCTTTCATCTATCTCAGATTTAAGCTGTCATAGTTTTTCCTGTAATTTATTCTCCAAACCATCTATTTTATTCGGCACCATTGCTGTTTGAACAATTTTAGAACTCCCTTACGCTGTGATCTTGTAGTTGGCTTTCGGTCACAGGAGGCGCTGTAATGTTTTTGGGGAGGAGCGGAGCTGGATGAGGCGAAAGATGGGAGTTTCCGGTCTTCGTACTTCATGATCCCCATGTGGCCTTCCCATCTAGCTCTAATGGTGACTATCCGGACGATGGACCCGGAGAAGGAGAAAGGAGTTTCGGGCTTTTGTAGGTCGCAATCCCGTCGGTCTCCCATCTAATGTATGTCGCCTCGTTGGGCCCCTGCGCGATTTTGTTGTCACCTTCCTTGCTATCTCTGAATGCAGCTGTCATCACACCCTTTCTGCGATTTTGACAAAGTCTTCCTAGCTAGATATTATCGCGGATCCCGTGCCCTGTACTACGCTGGATGTTGTTGACTACTTCTCCTATAGTTTGTTTCCCATAATTTTTTTTTAATACCTATTGAATCCGATCTGACACTGATTTTCACACAAAGTTATGGGAGAATAAAATTTTCTTAAATAACCAACAACACAATGAATAAAGGGTAAACACACAAGATTTGAGAGGTAGGCGATTTCTTCCAAATCCTAAAATTTGAGAGACAAAAAATCTCTCACAAACACTAACCCTAAGAGTCAAGGCAATATTTTCATGTATATCCCTAATCCTAAACTATTACGTCGTATTTATACCAAGCTGTAATTAACAAAAAAAGACTAAATTTTCCTTTGGCTGTGTACCAGCATAACCCATATTTAATAGCGTTGGCAAAATACTTCAATCTATTGGATAATGCCATTTCTTAGATCAACTAAGGACAAACGAATCTAGTACCACCCAATGTAAAAGAAATTGTAAAGCTTCGTCAAAGTTGAGAAGATAATAATTTATGCAGTTTAGTGAAAGATTGCCTATCAAATATATGTGGAGTACATATTAAGATCAGCATCACATACAAACCAAATTCCTTTCTTGGAAGAGACTGATGTTCTTTAAAATTTAGTTAGGAATTAAAACGAAGGAAGAGAAGAATTCCTCTCCAACAAAGAACACAAGAAACAATTTATCTTCGCTTTTCTTGCAACCAATTCCAAGGGGAGCTGATCCCCTAAATCTTGGATTCAAACTCTTGTTCACCCGGCTGCTGCATTGGCCCCAAACCCCATTTCCCTCGGCTCTCACCCTCATTTGCACAAATTGTAATATGAAAATTTGAGCATCAACACAGCAATAATTGATCTGCAAAAAGATCTTTCATAATTTCAGCCATATCGAATAAAGTTCAATTCATATTTTTATCATTAGTATGTTTGCATAATCACAGTCATGCATTCAACTTCGGAACCAGGTTTGTTGTGTTAATTGCTCCATCCTGCAGTTTCTTTCTTCTAGACATGAATTTGAGGAATAACAATGTTCATGTGCTTAAATGCAGATTACAGAATCGGCCAACAAGTCGTCCTTAATAAATTTCACAGATTATGACTCAGCCATAAGGAGAAAAATGTCCTCTTGTGACATTCTGTAAATAGTTGCGGTTTTCTTTCATTTTTCTCCATCTAGAAGAGGTTTCGACAGTGAGAATCCGATGATGATGCGTGAGGAATAGAATTAGCAGGTATTAAAGCAATGTTTTGCTTTGTTTTCAACTTATCATGAAATTAATATTTGTTAGCATCTAATGAAATTTAGTCATTATTGTAGTGAAGTTGATTATTACTGACGAATCTGCAGAGTTTGTTTCAAATGAATATATAGCATCAATCAAATAAAATAGTCAAGTTTGTTTTTTTTAAGAGTCCTGTAGGAAATATTATTCCAACAAAAAAAGGTTTACAGGGTCTGTGACCGATAGTTTCACTACACACCAACTGTTGTGAAAAACGACGACAATAAAGCAAAAAAACAGAACGAGAAAAATTGCACATAGAAAAACACCAGAGCAACACAAATTTACGTGGTTAGGCAAATTTGTCTATATCCATGAAGAACGAGAAAAATTGCACACAGAAAAACACCAGAGCAACACAGATTTACGTGGTTACATGAAGCTGTAGAGGATTTTACTTCTTCGAGGAATTACACCGTCGAGCGCCTCGTCGTTACAAGAAAATCTCTATTTTCTTCTCTCCCTTTCTCTCTCTCTTTTCTTCTTTTTTTCTTAGCTCTCAAGAGGATTTGGCTTGTCCTTGCTTGGCTTGGCTTGACTTGGCTTTTCCTTTAAGCCAAAAGTGGTTGTTTATAGAAATCATGAGAGCTGTAGGTGGGATGTGGTAGGTGAGCGGTAGGTGGAAAAGTAGGTGAGCGGTAGGTGGAATTCTTAATTAGGAAGCTAATTAAATTTCGGTGGACCGGGTCTCCACATTACCCAACATTTCTCCCACTTGGAGACTAGGACATGGACTGCATCACCTACTGGTTGCATTATCTACTAGCTGTACCGACCTTTTCCTCAAACATGATATCCTCCACCTCTGCAACTCAAATCCTTGTCATTCAAGAATATCAGCTGAAGTTGAGCACAACTTCAGTTTCTCACAAATAACACTATCAGTTGACATATCACCGTAAATGTAGCCTTGTACCATCAAGATCTTTCATAGGTTACTCTTGTATTTCTTACAACACTCACTGCATGAGTAATATCCTGCCACTGCTGAAAGCCCTTTTCAACAAGTCCAGCCTTGCACCTCTTACTGCCACCAAGCGCAGTCTTCACCCGGTACACCCACTTGTTGTGCAATGTCAAGTCTGATTCCCTAGCAAAGAATTTGTTTCCTCCTTCTTGGTCAGCTCCCACTTGCTCGAATTCTCATATTACAAGATTTCTTCATAGCTCTGTGCTTCTCCACAATTGGTCTGTACAAGGTCCGATTTCCTGCCTTTGGCGCTCTGCCACTTTTCAGGAAATTGCCTTCTTCTACTTCCTCATAATGCACCTCTGACTCATGTGTCTACGTCTGGATAAACCTATAGTCATATATAGTGTGCCAGTTTTCTTACCCCGAGCCAGTACTAATGCTCCTTTGGTAACCTTCTAGATGCTATCTTAGAACACTACCGAATGATCACCCTCATCGAGCTGTCCAACAGAGATGATGTTTTTCTTTAACTCAGAAACATGTCTGACCTTTGCAAAGTCCATTTGCTCTTTTTAGGGAGTGCAATATCAACGTCTCCCATCCCCACACCCCCGCCACGTCCAGAGCTTTTCCATCAGTCAGATATACCTTCCCAAAGTTACCTGCAACATAATATCACGTTAACTCCCTGTTGTATGGAAAAAAGCCACTGAATCCAATATCCAGTCATCAACAAAACTAAGAACTGTCAGCAGTAGTGCATCATGTACTTCTTCAGATACAACATTTGCCTTATCATTTACTATCTTATTGGAATTTTTGCAGTTCCTCTTTATGTAACCAACCTTTCCACAATTCCAATAGGTTGCCTGCTCACCAGACTTTAATTTTGATCTCCCTTTATTTGAGTTTATGTCATGTGATCACCATTTGAAATCAACTTTCAGTGCCAAACCCAAACCTGAGATATCGCCATAATCTTTTCTGTGCA